CGATTTCTGCTCAAATGTGGAAGCAATTTGGTTTTTCATTCGATTTGAATTAGGTTTTGATTATTACTCACTTGGATAATAACGTTGACTTGGGTTAAGTTTATATAAAGTTCAGTTCTTTTTGACTCTCATGGCTTTTCACTGAGCTCAAGCCTCACGGTAACGAGTTGGGTCCTGAAATTTCCAATTATACTCGAAGCACTTTTGGTCAAAACTACAGTTCTTAGATGATGTTTGTGGAATCTATCACTTATTATCGTAAACCCACATTGAGAGAAGCTATGTATCTCAAAAATTCGTGTACTTGTAGATATTACAACTCTTAGGATTAGGAACTCTGTTCAGGACAGTGTTTGTAGGTAGTAATAGTATTAAACCAGTATCCTTTTTACTTTCCAATCGTACTCGGAGCACTTGTTGTTAAATTGGGGATTTGGGTTTTTCTCTCAGGTGGTGATGATATGATAGGTGAAGGGAATGATCTGCCTCTACACTAAGTAACGTTACATCAGGTTTTGCTACAGAGAATATAGTATCAGAGCATGGAAGGGAAACTTGATAACCAAAGACGTATTTATGTCAAGAGGTTTAACAGGAAAGCTTGGCCTGATTCTTGTCAGGTTATGGTCTACATCTTTGGTTAAAGCTCTTACCTTTATGCAATCCTGGTTCTTGAATCTTTGGTTTTATTTTTTGATAGGATGAAGCTAAAGCTGTTGGGCAGTTAAGGAACTATAGGATGGCAAATCTTCTTGGATGTTGCTATGAAAGTGAAGAGAGACTTCTTGTTGCTGAGTTTATGCGTAACGAAACTCTGTCTAAGCATCTTTTCCATTGTAAGATTTAGCTTTCTTCTCTCGTTTATGGCTCTCTACGTATGGTTACATCAAGCTATTGAGACAGAAAGTGTTAATATGTTTCAGGGGAGTCACAACCTATGAAGTGGGCAATGCGACTAAGAGTAGATTTACATATTGCTGCTGCTCGTATTCGTGGTGGTGCTTGCCGTGGAACTGCTGATATGAGTGACTTAACTAGGTTTTAATTGTGTATATTTTGTGGCTAGTGGTAAATGTAAAACTAAAGGATAAAAATGATAATAAAATTGACAGGCCTGGTTTCTTGGCAGGTAAAGCTGCTGGAGCTTAAGTTATTGTTGTTCCTTCTCTTCCTAAACACACATCTTTTGGTCAACTCTTGCTTGGACACAGTTCTCTGTTGGTCACAAATCAGCCACAGAGGCAGTTCCATATTTTGAGCAGGTAATATTTTTCAGTGAGGAGGCTGCTTGAAGCTTGAAGGATCCAGTTAAATTCAATCAGGAGCTTCACAGGTGATAGATATCAGCTTAGACACGGAAAGGAGCAGATCATGTTATCAACTAATACTTGGCAAGANCAGGTGATAGATATCAGCTTAGACACGGAAAGGAGCAGATCATGTTATCAACTAATACTTGGCAAGACTTATGTTGTTAGTATAATACTTATATAATGTTAGTGTAAATACCTCTAAACATTCAATGTAAAATGTATAGATAAAGATTAAGTTTAAATTTTGATTTGTAAATAATATTTGTTATGATCGCTCAATAATTCGAAATTTTATCAAAGGAAAAAGTTAGCTTTAATCTTAAGTTTCAAAATTTAATCATTTTAAAAATCTCTAAAAGCTTTTTTTTTGCTTATTTGTATTTTGTAATTAAAAAAAAGCCAAAACCCTAAACCCTAAACATGTTTTAAAATTCTAAACATAAATTTTAAAATTTTCAATATTTTCATAATATAATTTTAATCTTAAACTTAACTCAAAATTTAATAATTTTGAAACATAATCTCCAATTTAAAATCAAAACCTCAAAAACCAAATTTTAAATCTACACCCTAAAGCTAAACCCTAATCCCCAAATTCAAACCCTACATATAAAGTCAAAAATCTAATTACTACAAATAATAAAATTACTAAACTAAAACATATTCCTTATATAAACTCTAATATATACCTAAGATATATAAAACATTTTCAACTTAAATTATATATTTTTTTTAAAAATATATATATATATATCTAACACCAAACCCTATATTATAAACACTAATCTTTTCATTTTATACTTGTAATCTTGAAATTTTAATTATAAACCATAAAATATAAATATAATCTTACATATTAGGATTGGGGCTTAGAATATGCTGGGTTTAATTATAAACCAAAAAATATAAATATAACCTAAAATCATTTAATTTTATTAATCTTACAATTGCTTTAAAAAGTGAAATCTAATAATTTTATAAATTTTATATCATTTTGTTAAACTTATATCGTTAGTTTTGATCAATTTAAAATTACTTATAAAATGTGAAATCTAATTATTTTGTTGATCTTATATCCTTGTCTTTATAAATGTGAATGAATAACTTAATTACTTATAAAACTTATATCGTTAGTTTTGTTTAACTCTAAGTTCTAACATATACACAATAACTATGATTTCTAACTGAAAATAAAATAAAATTTTAAACTCAATCAAACACATACACTATAAACACCAAACACCAAACCTTACATCAAACCCTATTCTTCCAATTTATACTCAAACTCTAAATTCTTTTATGATAATTCTTAATTTATTCTTAAGAAGATCATGATTATATATCATATTGAAATTAATCATCATTAGTCTAAGTAAACATATAATGATATGTCAAACTTAATAAGATAAAATAAAAAAAGAAAAAAGTAAGGATAACATCTATATCTCACCTACTTTTACGTTATTCTTCTTTTTTAATACCAATCCTAGTGATTCTTTTCTATTGGCTAATAGAAGAAAGTGGGGATAACTTCCTTTTCAATATTAACCGTTGATGAATTTAATCTAAGGGACATAAACACTTGCTTATTTTTAATGGTTTTCTCTCTCTCTCTCTCTCTCTCTCTCTCGATCTCTGCTCCTCTCCTCTTCTACCCTCGCAAATCTGAAAAAAAAATCAAAGCTCCATCTTTTCTTCTTCTCTGGAATAAACCCTAAGAAACCCAGAAAAATTCTCCATCTTTTACGAAGGGCTCCACTTCTCACCTTGTTGGTTCATGTCTCGAGTCCAAGAGAATCTTCAATCAAAACACAATCTGACATCGACTAAGCCATCGAGTAAGTTCCTCACTGGGGCTCCAATTAGGGTAGTGAACGATGATGAAGAANGAAACCCAGAAAAATTCTCCATCTTTTACGAAGGGCTCCACTTCTCACCTTGTTGGTTCATGTCTCGAGTCCAAGAGAATCTTCAATCAAAACACAATCTGACATCGACTAAGCCATCGAGTAAGTTCCTCACTGGGGCTCCAATTAGGGTAGTGAACGATGATGAAGAACTTTCCGCAATCTCTCTCTCTCCCTCTCTCCCTCTCTTCATTCTGATTTTGTTTCTGTTTATGGTAAAGGAGTTGATTGAAAGAATTTTCGATGAAAGTTTGAATCTTTTTCTGTTTATGTTTTGAAAACTGGGTTTCAAAGATAAGAAGAGGATGAAGAACAGCAGGAGGTGGAAGCAGAAGAATAAAAAAGGACGGGGCAGTTTCATAGATGGAGTTGTGGTGGCGGATGAGGCAGAGCGGGGGAGGCGGTGCAGTGGAGGTGCGGAGGAGGCGGTGCGGAGGAGTTAGGGATATTTGTTTGGGTTTTTTTAGATTTAGTTTTTAAACCTGGTTTGTATGTAAACCGATTTAATTTGTAAACCGAAAACATTTGTAATCTGGTTTGTATGTAAACCGGTTTTATTATAATATTAATTTGAATGAATTTTTATTTTACAATTTTTTGTATTATTTTCAAAATAAAAATATTAAATTAAATTTGTCATAAACAAAATGAAACAATTACATTTTAAAAATGAAATTAAAAATTCAAATATTTCTATTGATAGAACACTACAATAGTAGTTAAAACATGCTATAGTAAAATTTAAAAACTGCTATAGTAAAAATGTTATAATAACATTTTCGACACGCTATTAAAAAAAATTATAATTGCATAATCAAAAACGCTATTACTAAATTAATATCAATAGCGGCTACAAAAACCGCTATCTAATGGACCAGACCTATTATCGCGGGCGATGTTGGAGCGCTTTCTACAACGCTATGGTATCGTACGATAGCGATTTTCGGGTGCTGTTAAAACCCTTATTTCTTGTAGTGGAGATGAGGTAGAATGAGTCAAAATTGATTTTTTGATGCATTAAGAGCTTCATATTGGTTATTCATGGTTGTTAGGTGAATTGATGGCATTTGCATTTTCATGAATAATTGATGAAGATGAGGATGATAGAGTAAAACTCATTTTCGAAAAAAAAGTAATGACATTATCATGAATAATTATAATTTCTGGGGTGAATAGGGCAAGTCAAAGTTACAAAAAATAATGGGTTAATTTTGCATTTGACTTTGAGTTTGAGTCAATTTTGCAAAACTCCCTTAAAAACATTAATTAAATAATTAAAAATAAATAAATATTGTGATTTTCTTGGTCAAACTAGATCCTTTTATATCGTAGTTTGAAAAGATACATAGCTTAAATTAGACATGTTTCAATCTTTTATTCATCTATAAATGTACTTCTCTGAATTCCTAATATTTAAAGCACCATTATTTTATTATCGAAGATGAAAATTTCTTTCAGACCTTGGTTTATTGGTTTCATTATGCTCTCAGCTCTTCTGCTCGGTTTGTATTTACATTAAACTTTTAATTAATATATTATATAGTTACTCTAAAATAAAATTTATTTAATTCCGTTTATTTTATATACCTACAGTTATGTCTAATTCTATAATATTGAGTTTAGATTCCAAGAATAATCAAAAAATAAGAAATAAGATGTTTAGATTTTCAATTTTTCTATGCAGAAAACTCTCTAAAACCTATGTTTTACAAAAAAAAAAAGGTTTCTTATTTTAATATGTTAATTAAGGTTATGTTTTAATTATTAAATAACAGGAGAAATGGCATTTGCTAAGAAGTGGCCAGGTGATACCCAATGTAATGAAATATTAGAAAGCAAAAGTGGAAAATGTGATGTCAACCAGTGTCAAGCCGGATGTGTCAAAAAGCATAAAGTAGCGAAAGGTTCCTGCACACATGATGTTAAAGACAAAGCAAAAATGGTATGCGTATGTCATTATAAATGTGTTTGATGATTTTTTATCGACATTGAATTCCAAATAATAATAATACTATGCCTTTGTCAAAGAAAAGAATAAAAGTTCTAATAAATTGTTGCTGGTGTTTTGGCATAATAAAATGTACTATGTTACTGAATATAAATACAAATAAAAAAGATTGATAAGTGTGTCTTCCTTTTTCTTTTTTATTGTACAATTTTGTAAATTAACAAAAAATATTATACTGGAATTTGTTGTTAATTACATATAAAAATTGAAATAAAAATGGTAAAATTTTAACTTCTTTCCCCCTTAACAATCTCAGAGTCAAATTGTGTTTATATTTCTTCTAAGATATTTAATACTCAACTAAAATGTAAGGATGTTTGGGTGAAAGCATACATATCTAAAAGAACTACTTTTGCCTAGAAGTAATAGAAATATGTATCAAAATTAAGGTAATTAATATAAAATGCACCAGTATAATTGGCTGCAAAGTTTTTAATAAAGTTAACAGTTATCTAGACTAGTTGCATATTCTCCGCGCAAACGCGGAGCCGGGATCATTGTGTTTACGTGTATTTTTTTCGATTGTTGATTTAGTGGATTGTTCTAATGACACCAAATAATAATGAAATGGGAAAAATGTAGTAAGAGTGAAAAGTGAAAATATTGTATATATAATGTGTTAAATGTTATTTATATGCGATGTAAGGTTTATAGGAATAGTTAGGCTATAATATAGTTTTTAGTGTGTAAAAGTAGGTGTCTATTTTTTTTTTTGCTGTAAATAGTTTTTATATCGTAGGTCGGAACTTGATATAATTCTATATTTATAGTATTTATATTTGTATTAAACGATTTATCAATTTGAAAATAATCTTAATTAAGTTAATATTTGTTGTTTAAGTTTCATTAGATAGGTTTTTATATATGTTTTTTTTGTAAGTTTGGGTTTTTTTCATAAATAATGTGACATTTTATCTACGGCGTCATCGACTGTGGGAATCCATTCTCCGGAGTCTGGTGTCGGTGGTAAGGAATGTTTTCAATGAAATTATAGTAGTTATTAAAATGTAAGAGAAATTACATATTCATTTAATAAAAAATGAAAATACTTAAATTTTGTTGTTTATTTTATTTTATTTCACATACAATTTTTTTGAAAATATATTAGGAATGTATTAAATGTTATTTATATGCGAAATAAGGTTTATAGGAATAGTTAGGTTGTAATATAGTTTTTTGTGTGTAAAAGTAGGTGTGTTTTTTTTTGCTGTAAATAGTTTTTATATCGTAGGTCAAAACTTGATATAATTAAATATTTCTAGTATTTGTATTTGTATTAAATGATTTATCAATTTGAACCTTAATTAAGTTAATATTCTTTGTTTAAGTTTCTTTAGATAGGTTTTTATATATGGTTTTTTGTAAGTTTGAGTTTTGTTCATAAATGATGTGGCATTTTTATCTACGGCGTCATCGACTGTGGGAATCCATTCGTTGGAGTCTGGAATCGGTGGTGAGGAATGTTTTCAATGAAATTATAGTAGTTATTAAAATGTAAGAGAAATTACATATTTATTTAATAAATAATGAAAAATAATTTAATTTTGTTGCTTTTTTTATTTTCTCTCACATACATTTTTTTTGAAAATATATATTAGGTAATATGTGCAATGATTTAACTTTTTGAGCTCTTAATCTATATTATTCAAGCCTCATTAAGCCATCCACGTAGGCAGACGCGTGGGTCTTACTTTTTTTTTGTTTTTTGGTCTGTTCGTTTTTGGATCCATTTTTATTATTTTTGGGTTGAGCTATAGTATAATAGGATAATTTTAAGGCTTTTAAAGCCATCCGCGTAGGCAACCGCGTGGGACTTGCTTTTTTTTTTCTTTTTTTTATTGTTCGTTTTTTTATCCATTTTTAACTATTTTTGGGTTTGAACATGTTAAGCTTTAAGATTTATCCAACTATTTTGATATTTAAAACAATAAGCCCAAAAAGTAAACATAAAACCTTATAAACAAAAAGCCCATATGATAGTAAACCAAATCAAAAAAATCAAAAATACATGATACTTGCATGGTTTGTATCCACGATCTTGCATGATTATTTAGATACCTTATACCACTTGCCTAAACTGTATTTCATTGTTTGTAATCATCTTATCAAGACTATGTCTTTTTAAAAAATATCTATGGGATCCACAAAATTGTTGACGTGGCGCGCTGTAGAGCCTAAAAAGTCTACTATTATAATATAGATTATGGAAAACATCTTATATTTTGAAAAATCAAAAATTCTCTAAAACATCATACATTTCGAAAATGAGGGAAAACTATTTTTTTTTGTTTTCAATGAAGTTTAAATTCCTAAGACATTAATTAAATAAAACAAGGGAGTATAGCATTACAAATAGTTGAGGTCTCGTATAAGCTTCCGATCCGCAACGAACGTCAAATGGCACTGGGATAATCTCAGCTGCTCTTTCAGGGAACGAGAAGCCTAAACCTCTAGCACTTGCTCCACCACCGAATGATGCGATAAAAACCAGGTCTCATGTGCCGTCTCCTCCAAATGATCCTGTCATTTCAAGGATTGCATCTGACAGTTCTAAGGTACCAATAACACAAGACACAAGAATGATCCTATCTCTGATCTATCTCAGCTCGAGGTAAGCAAACCTTTTAATAGCATTTGAACACTGAATTCTTCATTTTGGTGGAGGAAGAGCAGAATAAACTCCGTTATGGCCTCTAGTGTACAAAGAATATATTGTGTACCTGAGCAGAGTATATGATTGCAGAGAGAAACCAATGAGTGAACAATTGTTTCTGTCAACGGTTTTGTTTGATGTTATTGTTTCACATTAATTGTTGATACGATGATTGGGAATGGGCCAATGTGGAAACCAACATGACAAAATAAAGTGTCATCGTATATGGGATAAATAGAAGATGAAATGGTCAATCTACCGGAGTCCCAAGGAGAATACTATAGAGCCTACTTTAATACAAAGAACATGGATATAGACTAATCGGTAAGTTTCAAAGCATGACCCCAATACAAAGGGATTTTACTGTACGATATGGAAAAAAGGAATAAAATGCCAAATTTGTAAGCTCAGAGTTCTGAGCATGATGATTGGAGTGTTACATAGATAGGAGACTGTGTCACACACGAGTAAGCTCAAGTTGAGTTGAGCGAAAAAGGCTGAGGTGTTACACAACGTGGAGCGTGTGTTACATCAGGAGCGAAATACAAGGAGCCGTTTAGAAGATAATGACCCAAGATTCTAGGATGTTTGTTAGGAAACAAACAAGAAGATATCGAGAGAATCTTTACTTATCACAATAGGATACGCAAGTATATATTGGTGATAGAGTTCATTAGCTAGGTTACGGCTTTTGGGATTATTGATTGCTATCGAGTTTGAGTGTTCAAAGCTGCGATTCTAAGTGAGCAAGTGGTGAGGTCTGTCTCGATCACTGTGCGTCTGGGTAGATTAAGAATTGGTCCGTCTCAAGTCAAGTTGTGACGTTGAGTAAACCGGATTAAACAGATCTTGTAGGATTGTTTAAGTGATTCTTAATAAATCAAGTTAGTTTTCTTGGATTCGTTCGAGTTACTCTTTTGTGGTGTCCATACGAAATTTCATTTGGTATCAGAGCAGGTCACCTCTGTGGACGAGTTTGTNGTTTTCTTGGATTCGTTCGAGTTACTCTTTTGTGGTGTCCATACGAAATTTCATTTGGTATCAGAGCAGGTCACCTCTGTGGACGAGTTTGTCTACTTACAGGTTGAGATCCTGCAACAATCATGGAGACCATGAAAGAACTGGTGGCTTTGCAAAAACCCATCATGCTTGACGAAGGAAACTTTGGACATTGGAAGGCTAGGATGCGGCACATCATACGAGCTATTGACGAGGATGCTTGGACTGCTGTTGAACAAGGATGGACTGCTCCAACAATGGTTATGGAAGACAAATCAGTGGCACCCATGCCAAAGGAGAGATGGACTGACTCTGATAAAGCTGCATCTAAATTCAACTCAAAAGCACTAACAACAATCTTTTCGGCTGTCGATCTTGATCAGTTCAAAATTATTCAAGGGTGTGAATCTGCTAAAGAAGCGTGGGATACGCTTATCAATCACTTCGAGGGAAACACAAGTGTAAGAAGGACCAGAATTGATCATCTTGCCTCAAAATTTGAGAACCTGAGAATGGAGGTTGATGAATCAGTTGGAAGTTTCATCTCTAAGATCAGCTCTATAGCAAATGAGGCGTCTGTCTTGGGAAAGAAGTATAATGAGAAGAAACTTGTGAAGAAAGTCTTGAGATGTCTCCCTCCCAGATTTGAAGCTTACAAGGCGTTTCTTAAGATTGCCGTAAATACTGATGAGATGAAGTTTGATCAGTTGGCTGGAATTCTGAAAGTACATGATTTGGAGAGAAGTGAAGACACAACTAAGGGTCAGAAAGGAGTTGCCTTCACAGCAGAAAACAAAGAAGAGGATAGAGTCAAGCGCATTGAAGATAACATGAGCTTAATGGCTAAGAATTTCAACAAGATGATCAAGAGAGTAGAGAAGGGGAACTATCGCAATAGCAACCGGCTTCAAGGAAGAGAAGGGGATCGTTCTTCTGGACAGCAGAACAGAAGTGAAACGGGTAGAGGAAATCGCAAGAAAGACCTGAAATGTCATGAATGTGAAGGTTTAGGTCACTTTCGGAGCGAGTGTCCTTTAGCTAAAAGGAAAGAGCTTAAGTGCATTGAGTGTAAAGGGTTTGGACATACAAGGAGTGAGTGTCCCAACAACCTGAAGAAAGATAAAGCTCTTCTGTCATTCAGTGATACCGAATCAGAAAGTGAGAGTGATGATGAAGAACTAATGCTGAATTTTGTTGCTCGTGTGGAACAAGAGGACACGCAATATATTCTTTCAAGTTCAGATTCAGATTCAGACAATGATGACGATAGGAAAGACGTGGATCTGAAGTCAGAGTTCAAGACTCTCTTTGACAAGTTTACAGAGTTGAGTCTTGAAAATCTACAGCTGATCAAGGACAAGGCGATGCTTAAGGAACAAGTCAACATACTTGAACTGGACACACCGATTACAGGAGGAACAAGTACAGCAGATGTCTTGCAAACTGAGAAGAGCCCAAGTATACAGCTCCTTGAAAGAACTGTCACAGATCAGGCTAACTCCTTGAAGAATTTGGAGACCAAGTATGATCAAGCTATGGGACTGCTGAATGAGGAACTTGAGAAGAGCCGCTTATTACAAAGGGATTTGAACGACAACTACAAGAAATTGAGGATGCTAAACAATGGATCAGACACTTTGGATCACATTCTCTCTCTCGGACAAAACCCAAAGGTTGCCCTGGGATTAGGTTATCAAGGATATCGAGGTTCAAGCAGTAAAGATGCAACAGATGTCAGGTTCGTTAGAAGTGGAGCATCAGGAAACACTGAGTCAGAGAAAGAAGCTACACCTCAGAAGACAGGTGATAAATCCGTGAAAATCAGCCACTGCGTAGGCGCAATGGTTGTCACTTCTGTGGCAAACAAGGACACAGAGTTGCATATTGCTACTTTCGGAAAGCTCAATATCAGCGAGCATGGTCACTCCACAAATGTTACATTGAACCAAGCCGGATTGGACATGTCTGGATTGCCAAAACCGATCTGTACCCTAACTTTAGAAACAGATCACCAACTCCTTCCAAGGAGGTTGAGACAGAAGTTTTTCAACAGAGACCAGGAAAAGAAGTGGTATGTAATATGGTGTTAATTGAAGAGTATTGCGAAGAAGACAGTGCTTCTGTTCCAAGTCTTGCCAAGGTGGCATTCACCTCCACAGAAGAACACACTGTTATTGAGATACCATGGTACTTTGATAGTGGTTGTTCAAGGCACATGACAGGTAATGAAAAGTTCTTGACTATCATGGAACCGATCAAGGAAGGTAGGGTGATTTTTGGTGATGGTGGTGAAGGTAGAATCCGTGGAGTAGGGCATATGGAGAGAGCTGATCTACCAAGACTCAGGAACGTCTACTATGTAGAAGGACTCAAATCAAATCTCATTAGCATCAGTCAGTTGTGCGACGAGGGGCTTCAAGTCATCTTCAACAATCGAGAATGTCAAGCAGTTGATCCACAAGGGAATCTTGTTATGTGTGGATTTCGATCAAACAACAACTGTTACTTCTGGAAACCACCGAGCAAATGCCTGTCAGTAAGAGACTCGCAGATTGATTTGTGGCACAGAAAACTTGGACACATGAATACAAATGGCCTCTCAAGACTCGTGCGTGCAGAGGTGGTTCGAGGTGTTCCTAGTCTTGAAGATCATTCTGACACTGTGTGTGGTGCTTGTTGTCAAGGTAAACAAGTCAAGGTTCAACACAAACAGGTATCTCAAATCCATTCTAAATCTATCTTGGAATTGATTCATATGGACCTCATGGGTCCTATCTCACCTGAAAGTATTGCTGGAAAGCAATATATCTTTGTGTTAGTTGATGATTTTTCCAGGTTTACAAGGGTGAGGTTCCTAAGAAAGAAGTCGGATGCAATTGAGAGTTTCAGGATTCTCGCACTTCAACTCAAGCAAGAAAGAGGAGGAATCATCAAGATCAGAAGTGACCATGGAGGAGAGTTTCAGAATGAGCAGTTTGACCAGTTTTGTCAAGATCAGGGGATCCAACATCAGTATGCTGCACCACGAACACCACAGCAAAATGGAGTTGTGGAACGCAAGAATCGAACACTTCAAGAGATGGCAAGAGCCATGCTAGCCGGAAACCATGTTCCATCAAAGTTCTGGGCTGAAGCCATCAACACGGCATGTTACATTATCAACCGAGTCTATGTAAAGCCTAATACCAAGACTACACCTTATGAGCTACTCCGAGGAAAAACCCCAAACCTTGGTTTCTGTCATGTGTTCGGGTGTCTTTGTTACATTCTAAATGACAAAGATCATCTTGGAAAGTTCGACTCCAAGAGTGATGTTGGAATGTTTCTTGGTTACTCAACCAATAGCTCAGCCTACCGGGTGTATAACTCAAGGACAAGAACAATTGATGAGAAAGTGAATGTTGTCTTTGATGATCGAGTCGGTTTTTATCAAGATGGTGTGACACAGCGAAGTGTGTGTACCACAACTCAACAGTGAGGATGAAAACTCAGTGATTGTGTCAAACAAAGAAGCTGAAGAATCATCACAGGAATCAATCAAGGTACACAAGAATCATTCCTCCGATGACATCATAGGAGGATTGCTGGATCCAAGACTCACAAGGAAAAAGCAAATTGATTTCAAGGAAATGGTCAAGCTTGCGTGCCTTATGGCTGAAATGGCTAAGGAAGATTGTTTCATTTCACAAACCGAACCAAAGACCTTACAAGAAGCGCTAGATGACGAGTTCTGGACAGCCTCAATGCATGAGGAGATGGAGCAGTTTGTGAGACTTCAAGTATGGGATTTAGTTCCAAGACCAGAGGGTGTTAATGTGGTTGGAACCAAATGGATATACAAGATCAAGACTGACGAGAATGGTAACCCAATTAGAAACAAGTCGAGACTAGTTGGACAAGGCTATTCGCAGATTGAAGGAGTGGATTTCGATGAGACATTTGCACCAGTTGCACGCCTTGAGT